TCTGTATTCTGTCGAAACTGCCAGACGCGGATCGCGATTTCGATCTTTTTGGATCTCATCAGCGCGACGCAGGCAGCTCCGACAGAACACAGACCAACTTTAACCTGCTGTCTTAACAGTGCGTTTTAGAAAATAATAATGATGAAGTAATCAATAAAACTGTTTTTTATGACTTACTTTGTATGACATTGCCGCTTCGTTTATTGTTGCTGCTGAATTGTTGGTTATCTGCGATGTTGTGGTACTGACTGAGGGTATCAGGAGTAGTATTTATACCAATTGTAAAATATCCACACTTTTTTCGTAATTTAAAAAGCAGTAAATTAGTTGTAGATAGTGCTACTATGCGTAAGTGATTATTGATGAGTTGAAGTATTACGTGACTGTACTTTTTCTCCAGGCATACAGAGTGTGAAGGTAGAATGTAATTTGTTTTCGTTTTTCTTTTTTTCTTGTCACAATTAAATATTTCTGATGTTAAAAATTCCTAATGATGGAACGCAAATGGGATAGCTATTTATAAACAATTTTGCTAATTTCATCTTTAATTAATATACCATCGAACAGGATGTTGTAGAAGTGCGTTTAACGGAATGTGTGTTAAATTTTTTATCATCCATGATGATACTTTTATGCAACCCCCTTTCGTTTAGCTTTATTTTCTTGAAAATCTATACTGATATATCTATACGCTAGATATTCCGATTAATGTGGTGATGGTTATGCATATTAGCTATTTGGTAAAGAGTATTAAATCTGTTGTGCATCATCGACTATGATACTGCTGTTTAAGGGTTGATTTTTGAAAAAAGCACCCCAATACAAGCATATATGCGTTATAAAATTTTTTGAGGCGAGTTACAGTATGAAAAAAGTTATTTTGCACAAAAAAGGTAAATAAAAATTTAATTTGATGAAGCAGTTAAAAATTAGCATTGGGCCAAATAATCCTATGAATAAGTATTAAAACTAAGATGAAAGATAAACAATTTATAAAATTTTTAAGAGTGAGTGGTTTTTCAAGGTTTTAATGTTTGTCGTTTGTGATTATCGTTTTGTTGTTTAAGGTCTACTTGTCATTTTTATAATTTTTACCAAGTTTTACTAAAGTCAATAGAAACATTTTAAAATTTTCTGTTGGACTCTGCAATTTATTTCAATATACAGGGACGATTATCATGGGTAAGCAGTTGATATGTCTAAGGGAAATTGACGCAAAAATTAAAACTATTTTTCAATATGCATTTTCTAAACTCAATCGATCGTTACCGTGAGCTATTAAAAGTGCATTCGAACAAAAATTCAAAAACTGCCGAATTGTTTTACTTCTGCAGCAAAACATGAAATAACAAAGTAGGTAATAAAATAATTGATTTCCAAATTAAGCATTTAATGACCTGAAAGTACAGAGACAGAGGTTAAAAATAAACTTTTCACTTAGGTACTGTAATACGATATGTATGCGTCTTGTGCACGTATTTTTATTAATTGCTCGAAAGTAATAAATAATAGACACTCACTAAAACAAATGGGAATCTATTTTTAATTGAACCGATACATATACTTTTCCCTTATAGTTCACATAATTATTTTGTTGTTTACTGGAAATTGTTTTGTAGTCGGATTGAGTAACAATTATTCATTAATTACTGCTTTTTTTATTAAATTTCTACAGTTGCATAATATTTATTAAAACAATAAACGTCTGTTCTGATTAATTCTCGTATGCCCTCTGACTGTAGATGGATGATCTGTAGTATTATCTTATATTTTCTTTATAAGTAATTTCGAAATCAATGTGTATCATCAAAATTAAATAAATTATGAAGCAAGATTTAAGTGGGCTACCATTCTCAATGTACTTAGGTGTCATATTAACATTTCACTTTTTTTAGTAGAAAAATACTTTTCGGTTGGGTCTTTTGATGGAGTTTTTTAATTTTTCTCTTTCGAACGGGAAGGGATTGTTAAATGCTAAATGCGGAAAGCATGGGAGAGTCATTTTTGGAGGAAAAATTGGAAATTAAAAAAAAGTTTTGCAAGCTGTATCGTGTGACATATCAGACGGATGGGCTTGCTGTAAAGGGCTCAAATATATTTAGTTTGTAATCTTAAAAGTAATACTTTTAATGTTATTTAAGAAAAATAAAATAGTTCTTTACTTATAGATTACAGGAAAATTAATAAGAAATCTATGGTCCGAACATAACATGGTAAATCTTTCAACAAAACAATATTGTGTATACAAATTTACATTTGCAGTTTGAATGCATGGGACATGTTTTTTTTTCAACAAGAATGTTAAGATGGTTTTCGGGTTAGGGTTCCGTACGTTCGAATGAAAAAACGGAACCCTCATCACTTATATGTTTGTCTGTCTGTATTTTTATTTAATACTAGTTTTGAAAGGTCTTGTCGTGTTTTTCATTGTTTTCGTACCTATTCTGTTTCAAATAAACCTCATCTTGGTAGATTCTATTGGACAGGTATCAGTATTGAATAATAATTAATTAGAAAAGTCAAACAAACACTATACATATAACTACCAAATCGTTTTATTTATAAGTTAGCGCAATACATATTGTACATACAGATTAATACATAAATTATTAAGTTCGAAGAATTTACCATTTGTGTATTGGTTCGCGGTGTACAACGGCGTTGAAACCGTGATGATGATCGGCGGTATATTCGACGATTCTCTTGTGATGACCGTCGGGTTCAACTAGGGAGTAACTGCCCTTAACTTGATCCTTGTAACGTTCTTCCTTTTGGGATTTGACGTCGTGGGTGTGTCCATCATGTACGGTGTAACCGAATTCGTAATGTGGTTCATGGGTATGTTCTTCCTTGTGCACAATTGGGACTGCGTGGACGTTGGGTGCGGCGTGGACGAGGACGGGTGCGGCGTGGACATGATGGACCGGGATTTCGTGGGCAATATGGANTAACTGTTACCCTCATTTTTTAGTAAAGTAAAATATATTGGTAAAGTTCAAATCCTGGAAAACCTAAAGGTTATTTTTATTGGTTTATTTGGGAAAGAAATGACAAATCGTTTCTTAAACGGAGAGAATGATTGTTTCAATTTTCAATGTTAATGTTTTGCATTGATTTCAATGGAGTGAATTACTGGAGCGTGAAGCAGTGTGTCTAAGGATATCTACTAAATAACCTTTAAATGAGGTGCAATAACAATGAGTTCTTGAACTTGATTTTTGTATACGTATGAGTTACTAACAAAAAGAAAGTTATGTAAAAAGATGCAAAGATCATCTAAATGTTATTGTTTTGAACGTTAAATCAATTAAGCGTTGATGTTAATTTTTATTATTAATTGTCCTTTAATGAATGATTGAGATAATATTTCTNGATTAAGTAATCAATAAAACTGTTTTTTATGACTTACTTTGTATGACATTGCCGCTTCGTTTATTGTTGCTGCTGAATTGTTGGTTATCTGCGATGTTGTGGTACTGACTGAGGGTATCAGGAGTAGTATTTATACCAATTGTAAAATATCCACACTTTTTTCGTAATTTAAAAAGCAGTAAATTAGTTGTATAGATAGTGCTACTATGCGTAAGTGATTATTGATGAGTTGAAGTATTACGTGACTGTACTTTTTCTCCAGGCATACAGAGTGTGAAGGTAGAATGTAATTTGTTTTCGTTTTTCTTTTTTTCTTGTCACAATTAAATATTTCTGATGTTAAAAATTCCTAATGATGGAACGCAAATGGGATAGCTATTTATAAACAATTTTGCTAATTTCATCTTTAATTAATATACCATCGAACAGGATGTTGTAGAAGTGCGTTTAACGGAATGTGTGTTAAATTTTTTATCATCCATGATGATACTTTTATGCAACCCCCTTTCGTTTAGCTTTATTTTCTTGAAAATCTATACTGATATATCTATACGCTAGATATTCCGATTAATGTGGTGATGGTTATGCATATTAGCTATTTGGTAAAGAGTATTAAATCTGTTGTGCATCATCGACTATGATACTGCTGTTTAAGGGTTGATTTTTGAAAAAAGCACCCCAATACAAGCATATATGCGTTATAAAATTTTTTGAGGCGAGTTACAGTATGAAAAAAGTTATTTTGCACAAAAAAGGTAAATAAAAATTTAATTTGATGAAGCAGTTAAAAATTAGCATTGGGCCAAATAATCCTATGAATAAGTATTAAAACTAAGATGAAAGATAAACAATTTATAAAATTTTTAAGAGTGAGTGGTTTTTCAAGGTTTTAATGTTTGTCGTTTGTGATTATCGTTTTGTTGTTTAAGGTCTACTTGTCATTTTTATAATTTTTACCAAGTTTTACTAAAGTCAATAGAAACATTTTAAAATTTTCTGTTGGACTCTGCAATTTATTTCAATATACAGGGACGATTATCATGGGTAAGCAGTTGATATGTCTAAGGGAAATTGACGCAAAAATTAAAACTATTTTTCAATATGCATTTTCTAAACTCAATCGATCGTTACCGTGAGCTATTAAAAGTGCATTCGAACAAAAATTCAAAAACTGCCGAATTGTTTTACTTCTGCAGCAAAACATGAAATAACAAAGTAGGTAATAAAATAATTGATTTCCAAATTAAGCATTTAATGACCTGAAAGTACAGAGACAGAGGTTAAAAATAAACTTTTCACTTAGGTACTGTAATACGATATGTATGCGTCTTGTGCACGTATTTTTATTAATTGCTCGAAAGTAATAAATAATAGACACTCACTAAAACAAATGGGAATCTATTTTTAATTGAACCGATACATATACTTTTCCCTTATAGTTCACATAATTATTTTGTTGTTTACTGGAAATTGTTTTGTAGTCGGATTGAGTAACAATTATTCATTAATTACTGCTTTTTTTATTAAATTTCTACAGTTGCATAATATTTATTAAAACAATAAACGTCTGTTCTGATTAATTCTCGTATGCCCTCTGACTGTAGATGGATGATCTGTAGTATTATCTCATTATTACATTTATAATTAAAAACCACGTATTAACACAAAAGTTTCCCATTTAATTAGTTATTCAACTGTTTAGAGGTTCAACTACAAAGCCTCCCTGTACTTTTACTCATAATGTATTGTTTCACAGATTTGAGTTTTCTATAAAATTTCTGGTTCCTTTTAATAATTCAGGCGTGAGCCGCGTGACCGATCATTCCACACACTTTTTTAATGATTAGTAGAATGCTGAAACCCATAATTTGATTTGTGCATTTCTATTGAGTATATACATGTGTTTGTGTCACAGAATCAACGGACCACTTCGTCATTCAGAAAATAATAAATTACGTACCAATCTACCCTTAGTAAGCCTTACACAAGGCAGGCGTAAGTTGTGATTTTAAATTACTTTTGAACCAACAATTATTTTCGGAAAATCTTATGTGTATTAGTCTTGGTGTTGACTTTAAAATCCCATGTGAATCTCAATGGTCCAATATTAAACACACGGACTCATGTTTGAGACATTTATAAACAGTAAGGGCGCTTTTAAATACAATTTTTGTACGAGTCTCTACAGGGATAAGGTGGAACAATATAAGAGAAAATAAACATTCACATTTATAACGATTGAAATAAATAATATATTTATTTATAGTAGAAATGGTATTGTCTAATAACGAATTAAAGGAAAATTGTTGTTTCAAAGTCAGTGTAATAATTTTGCGACTGGGGCAGCGTACGCTACTGGAGACACTGGGGCAATAACTTTACCGAGAGGTTCCCTGTGTACGATTGCGTTAAAGCCGTTATGGTCGTCAGCGGTATATTCCACGGTCCTCTTGAAACCGTCGGAATCGATTAAGGAGTAACTTCCATGGACCGCGTCGTTGACTCGCGACTCTTGTTGGGCTTTGGAGTCACCGGTGTGAGGGTCAGACACGGAGTAGCCGAAGTCGTAATGGGGTGGAGCGTATGGTTCGGCAACGATTGCTTTAGCGATGGGTGCAGCGTGGGCAATGGGAGCGTAATGGGCTACTGGGGCGGCATGGACAACTGGGGCTACTGGAGCGGCATGAAAAACTGGGGCTACTGGGGCAGCATGAACAATTGAAGCTACTGGAGCGGCGTATTTTTGGTATACAGGTGCTGCGGCGTAAGCTACGGGAGTAGCAACGGCTAAGGGTGCGTGGGAGACCTCAGGGGCGGACTGGTAGGCGTAAGAAACAGCATGGGATGCTGGAACGACTCCTGCAGCTGCTGTTGCAACAATAGCAGCCATAACGAATATCTGAAACAAAAGAAAAAAATACATAAAACAAAATACTTTAAGTGAGTAGTTATTACATACTTTGTAGACCATTTTTAATTGGATAATGTACTCGAGACTAGGTTCGATACTGATACTGTTTGAGGGTTAATTAATTTCGTATTTATATGGTAGAATTGCACGGTCCATTCCTACCATAAAGTGAAATGTCTCAAGTGCCTATCTGCATCCAGCATGTAGGTAGATTCGGGCTCAAAATAACAGGGTCTACGTGTCTGTGTGTGTGTGTGTGTGTGTGTTTGTGTGTGTGTCATTAAAAATGGTCCACTATTGTGCAAATACTTTTACCTAATTGACCTAGATAATTTTAGCCGGAGGTATTTCAATCAAAACGTGCGACGCGATGGCGCGCGTGGGATGTGTGTGTATGTATGTATGCGAAACTGTAATAAGAGATGTGTGAAGGTCAATATTCAGAGGCCAGTTTTAATTAGAAAACTGATAAAATGCAGATAAAGACCTTTCTAGGCTATGGGACCTTCGTATTGATAATGTCCGTTGATTTTTATTAATTTGCGTTAAAAAGTGAAAAATTGGTTTGCAGTTTTGTTGGATATATGAAGAGATTTCTGTTATGTTTAGACAGTTTCTCTTAAAAAAGGTTGAGACTACTCAGTAAAAGAATGTGAGTTAGTAGAACTTTACCGTTTTCACACATTTTTTTAGAGAAAATTATTATTTTATACTGGCCATGTAAACATATGCAATTAAGAAGAGAAAGTGAATATTATGATTGGGAAAACCCCGAGAAGAGCGAGAGCTATGGAAATCGATAAGGGAAATGATAGGATGGTAGGACACCTTATAAGTCATGAAGGCCCACTTAGGGACATAGGTATTAGAAGCAGAAGTAATGAGATTAGATTTCATTGTATCATCATAAGGCCGTCAGTCCTACAGCTGGTTGGACACATACCTCCACTCCTTCCTATCCTGAGCTAATCTTCGCATTTCCCTAAAACTAGAACAATCCACATCCTTAACTATTTGCGAACAGTGATCTAATCTAGGCCTACCTTTATCCATCCTAACTCCCGTTTCTACCTCTAGCATACCTCTGACTAGACCTTCATGCCTGAAAGGGTGTCTTACCAACCTGTCTCGCCTATTAATTATTGACTTCCATAGAGTCCTTTGTTCTTCTATTCTTTATAATGTCTCTTCATTTTTAATCTTCTCTATCCACGGTATCGTCATCATTCGCCTGTAACACCACATCTAGAACGCTTCTAGCTTTTTCTTTTCTGTAGCGCCCACCCTCCATGTTTCGCACCCGTACAGCGCCGCGCTCCAAACACACACCTTTAATAATCTTTTTCGAATTTCTAAATAAACCGTTCGCGAGCATACAAGTGACTTCTTTTTATCGGCGACTCGACCCTCTGCTTTATATCCCTACTAGTCTTTTTGTCCTGACTTCCTAGATACTACTTATATTTTTTCGTCTCCTATCTTTATATTCGCTCTTCCCTTGCATACCAGTATTTTTGTTTTACTTTTATTTATTTTTATACAGTACTGTTTTGTCAATACCGCTTTCATTTTATGTAAAGCTTGTTCTAACTCCTCCTTGCCAGATGCTAGATGCTAATACTGCTATCTGGAAATCTAAGCTGCATATCTATCCCTACAGTTGTACTGTCTTTAATAATGTTGATCGTATCTTTGATGTACAGACTAAAAAGTAGCGATGACAGTGTGCATCCCTGTCGGTCTCTTTCGTTGTAGTCCCATCTCTATAACTGCCTGTTGCTCTTTATAAGTTTAAAGATTAGATTTACAACACGCAAATAGTCAAAGATACTCTAGTTTTCGGGAAATGCGATGATTGACCAAAGACTAAAAGAATCGGATGTGCATGTCGAATCAGTCATCAAACTGACACCCTTCTGATGATGACTCCACTAACCATTTTAAGCACTCTTTCGAAGTCCTTCAATCCTTTTGTATTTTCAAAATCCAAAGTATGTAAGTATCTGAATTCGATTAGGAGATAATCCTGATTTTTTTTTAAAACTAAAGTCAATTTATTTTAACTTTGCCCATACCATATCATACCATGGCTAAAACAAAATATGCAAAGCTTTGGTGGAGATAGAAGCGAAACCGAAGCAGACATTTTGCGTAACAAGACGAAAGGTTCGCATAATTATTAAATAATCAATCGAAAGAAATTGTGTTTCTGGAACAATATCGTCAGATAATTGGCGAACCAACGCCCGATGCCTGGCGAGATAAAATTTTTAGTTAACCGATAATAAATACATGCATAAGTTTGTATTATAATACGTGTATAAGCATATGTGTATATGTATTTGTTGTCAGGCCTGAGTTATAATAATAATAATAGAACAGACAGACAGAATGTCTCGATTAATTATTTACAACTGCATACTTCGGCTGAATGAAAACGAAATTCTGCCCAGAGCTGTCTGCGTCAGCAGCTGTATCTGATACATTTGGAAGAAAAGAAAATGAAACGCTTTTCTCACATAAGCTACATACATACAAGAATTGTTTACCTTTTAGTTGTATGTTTACACTATTGTGTTTTTAAATACTAACCGCTAAAAGCATTACTTTTACTATCAGGTTTTTGTAAAATATTGAAACTAATGAGAAAAACCATTACAAACTGTACATTAATTGTGTTTACTAAATAATTGATCAAGCCGATGTAACTCAAGTCATTTAAATATCCACTTTTTCCTTTTTAAACCAACAAGTTGATTTTTCATTGTTTATTTATCAAATTCTTCGGTTATTACTTTTGGTCGACTGTAGATGACTTACAAATTGTAACCATTTCTAACACTACGTAAAGTTTCATTACGGTAACATATTAACGAACATGTACATAGATTTTACAGGACAAATTGCCTTATTAGGTATTACTGCGTACACAGCCATTAACAATTACGTACGAGGGTGATTTATGAATAATTAATTTGAATCTTTACACAAAAAATGACTTGAAGAATATGGTACCCTTTCTAATTATTGTTTTTGAATTTGTTTTCAATCACTTCGAGTAAGAAGTCCAAATTACTGAATGAATTTCAGATTTTTTTTTTTGTTATCGAATAACATCATAATAGGTATTTGTACGATACTCCGATCCTCCCAAATATAAATTTACAAAAAACTGGAAGGTTATGCCTACATTTATACATATATCCCTTACTCCTTTACTTTAATTTTTGTATTTTATTAATAACTTCCTGAATCCGTTAACTAATTTAATAAATGCGAACTTAACTATTCAACTTCATGAAATTTTCTACACATCGTCAGGAGTACAGAAAAGAAGGTAGGGTATCTTTTATCCAGAAAACTATACTGTTCCCGAGTGATGGAAAAATTAGTTTTATGTGATCGTCGATGATTTTTTTGATTTTGAACGCGAGCGAAGCCGATGGTAAAACCTATCATTAAATTTTGTACACATGCATTATCAGAAGTACAGAAAAGGACATGGGGTACTTTTTATCCAAAAAGGAAATACTGTTCCCGAAAGATATAAAAATTAGTGTTGTGTGGTCGTCGACGATCTATGACATGTATTTTTAGGACAGCAAAGCAAGCGAAGCCGCGAGTAAAACCTATCATTAAATTTTCTGCACTATTTGTTAGGGGTAGGAAATGGACTTAAGATACCTTTTATTAAAAAAAAATACTGTTCCCGAGGGATCGAAAGGTTAGTTTTAATAAACGCACACAATAAATAAATACATGAAGAAACCATTATTTATACATGTCAATGATTTCACAATAAAAATCATCATTTTCTACTGGTTAAATATGCGTATTATCGAATTATTCCTTAGTAGAAATCTCTATATAGGGGTACTTTAACTAGAGTAGGGGCTGACGGTGGGGCTGCCACTTTCGTAATAACCTTCCCAATGGGTTCTCTGTGTACCACAGCAGTGAACCCTTTGTGGTCATCGGCGGCATATTGGACCACCCTCTTAAAACCATCAGGATCAATAAGCGAGTAACTTCCCTGCACGACGTGACCATTTCTAATCTCCTGCTGCTTCTTTATATCACCAGTGTGATGGTCTTCAACCGAGTAACCAAATTCATAATGGGCCGGGACGTCCTGCTCATTCTCAATTTGTATAGTTCTATGAATTGGGGGTAATTGTACAGGAGCGACTCTAATTTCCTTGCGAATAGTCGGGACGTGGACCGGCTGAGTGTAAATAGTTGGAAAAGCAACTTTGGGAATCAAAGCGGGCTCCTGAATCTTATGGATTTGATACGTGGGCGATTGGTGGTGGATTATTGTGGGAGAATGACTCACGTAAGATGGTCTTTCAACAGGTGCGGTGTACAGGAATGGTGAAACTGTTTTCTTTATCACTTGTGGCACATAGTGTTGGACGTGGTCACTTGGATGTGATATGTAGCTGTAAGAAACGGCGGGAGCTTGTTGAACACCAGCAGTTGCTACAGTCCATACGTAGGCAAATAAAATAATCTGGAAGATTTTTTTATTGAAATTTATTAAAACTATACTAATACCAACGAAAAAATAGAACAAGGAACAGGACTTGCCTTTTGAACAGGAAGAATATGAAAGATTTACCTGTGTTACAATGTTCATAACGGGCACGTAATGATGCACTGTGATCAATACCATGTATCAATAGCTTATGGTGTTTTGTGCAATTGAGTGCTTTTATAATATTAAGTGAACTAGAACATTTCATAAAAATAAACACCGGAATGGTCATTACCAGATGTTAAACGGGCAGGTAATCTGACCGTTAACGTTACAAGCAATGTATCTGTCGATATAATTGCTATGGTTGACCTGATTTGTTACTTTTTATTGTTTAATTAATGTAAACATTTATTATTATATATTATTATGACGAATTATGACATAAATGGTACCAATAGGTTTGGATCGTTTGACAATGCCGTAATAAGAATTAAACTACTATAGTAAAGACAGCAAGACATAATTGCTTTTATTAATCCATTGTGGGAATTAATTTCATTATTTCAATTATGTTTTATATCTTCAGATTAGCATTGTTCGGTATTATATAAATTACACAAACAGGAAAACAGAAAGTTTCAAGGAATACGAGGGCTGTCTTAGATAGATGCTGACCTCTTAGGTAAAGACGTAACTGCAAGTTAATTTCCGTTAAAATGTAGAAAAAGATACACATATTGTGTAGTTTTGATGGTTGGTTTTTCAATTAATAAAATCTGTCGATAATAACGGTCCATTAAACTAACAATAAACTGCTATAAATAAATTTTATTTACGTTTAAAGCGCTTATAAATAAAGCTATACATTCGTGAAAAATAAATAATAAAACACAAAACCAGCTCGTTGCGATTTTGTTTAACACAATTTCCTATATCAAGTCAATCGAGGATTCGTCGATTAAATTAATGGATGTATTTGGCGACTGGGGCGGCGTACGTCAAAGCTGGGGCCACAACCTTGGCGACTGGGGCAGCATAGGCGACTGGTGCTGGGGCAATAACTTTACCAAGGGGTTCCCTGTGTACGACTGCGTTGAAACCGTTGTGATCGTCAGCGGTGTACTCGACGGTCCTCTTGAAACCGTCGGCGTCGATCAGAGAGTAACTTCCATGGACGACGTCGTTGACTCGCGACTCTTGTTGGCTCTTTGAGTCACCGGTGTGAGGGTCAGACACGGAGTAGCCGAAGTCGTAATGGGGTGGAGCGTACGGTTCGGCAACGACGGCTTTAGCGATGGGTGCAGCGTGGGCAATGGGAGCGTAATGGGCTACTGGGGCGGCATGGACAACTGGGGCTAATGGGGCGGCGTATTTTTGGTAAACTGGAGCCGCCGCGTAAGCAGCTGGAGCTGCAGCGTAAGCAGCTGGAACTGCAGAGTAAGCAGCTGGGGCTGCAGCATAAGCAGCTGGAGCTGCAGCGTAAGCAGCGGAAGCGTGGGCTGCTATGGGGGCAGATTGGTATGCGTACGATACCGCTGGGGCAGCGCTGTATTTTGCTACAGCAACTGGGGCGGTGGGAATTAACCCAGCGTTTGCTGCAGCCGCAAGAACGACGAATGCAAACAACTAAAAAGAAAAAATATTCATTAAAAGATGCGTATTATACACAAAATGTGAACAAACTAAAGACTAAAATAAAATAATTCGAAGTGGTCTGTAGCATCGTGCCACAGATGGCGTTTACTGCGCCATTTGTAGTATTTTCTAAAAGTAAAGACTATATGTATATACTGGTGTGAAAAATGAACCTTGATGTAACACTGTATCACAACAACCACCACCTAAGTACCGTTAAAATTATGTTTTTATCACTCACTTTGAGAGACATGGCACTTGTGTTGATCTGTTTGTGTTTGGGTGCTGGTTTTTTCTGAGATGTCGACGTGTATGATCCAATTGTAGGTAATTCGCGGTTTATATAGGAAAATAAAAAGGTGTGCCTAACGCATGGTACGGTGGTGCGCCCCGGACCTTTCACTGACACAGTTCCAGCGTTATCATCAGATCGTTGGCGAAAAATTCGGTAGCCTGTTCGATAACGTAACCTATCATTAATAAATGCGAAATATTTTGCAATGACCCTGAAAAATTTTGACCCTTATACGATAATAATAAAAGCAAAGTCTCTTAACAACTTGTAATATTACCATAGTTAATTTTAACTTTGTATATAACGATTATCCATTTTCGATAATTCATGGAAGATTTTAACACCCAAAAAGAGTTTTTCAAGTGTAAGAGAATTTCATTTATAAAAGTAATTTAAATTGAAGCAGGAATTTTTGTGCCAAGATTCAGTTGCTGTTATGGCCTATTATAACATACAAACAGACAGACATATATTGTTAACATTAATTTTGAAGGTGTCATTTGTTTATTTTGCTCCAGTTAAATAGATAGTTTTTTAATTATCGCAGATTGGGTTGACTTCAGTTATCCTTTCTCGCAATGTCACTATTTGTATCGACGTCTGTGGAAAGGTTACCTAATCTGAGAGATTATAACTCAACTAATACATATATCGAAATAATGTTAAGGTAATTGTAAATGTCATTCGGATATTTTATTATGCCATAAACTATTAACTTCTAAAATGTTTGGTATGTGCTTATTTTTTACGGTGGATTAAAAATTCATTAGGTATATCGAAGTTTATATTCCAATAATAATAAGGAGGACTTTTCTAATAAGTACTAAGTACTCGCTAGATATCTTGTACAGCTACAGAATTAATGTTTTGTGGATGTTTCTATTCGAAAGAAAAACTTGATTATTAACACCATGGTAGCGTTCATTGATTTTAAAAAATAAAAAATCATAAAATTTCCTTCTTGGAGAGGTACATATTGATTAAAAAACTAAACTAATTCAACTGTTGAGTTTGTTAATTAATTAGTTTATTGTATGTACTTTTCCATAAACGAAATTCCATCTGCTTTACATCTTTATTAACTTCAAAAATATCATTTAGATAGCCTGAAACGTTGGCGGTTGTTTTTTTATTTTTTAAGAGTAGAGTGGAAGAATGTAACTCTTTAATTATAAAGCAAGTTCAATTTTTCTTCTGTGTTTAATAATCTGATTTGAAATTGGTGTGTTTGTAATCCAATTGTCATTATTGAAGGTTACAATAAGTAATGAACATACGATCCGGATCTCTCACGATACTTTCATTTGTTAATGTTTCAATAATATTAAAGTGTAATTGACAATATTAATGAACTATTACACCAGAATGACCGACCTAGTTTGTGCTGTGTATATGTCATTCTAACTATATATATTTTACCATTAAAGACTTATTGTTAAGCCTTAGTTTTAGTATATATTTTATGTTAAAAAAAAAAGAAAGTAACTGTTACCCTCATTTTTTAGTAAAGTAAAATATATTGGTAAAGTTCAAATCCTGGAAAACCTAAAGGTTATTTTTATTGGTTTATGTGGGAAAGAAATGACAAATCTTTTCTTAAACGGAGAGAATAATTGTTTCAATTTTCAATGTTAATGTTTTGCATTGATTTCAATGGAGTGAATTACTGGAGCGTGAAGCAGTGTGTCTAAGGATATCTACTAAATAACCTTTAAATGAGGTGCAATAACAATGAGTTCTTGAACTTGATTTTTGTATACGTATGAGTTACTAACAAAAAGAAAGTTATGTAAAAAGATGCAAAGATCATCTAAATGTTATTGTTTTGAACGTTAAATCAATTAAGCGTTGATGTTAATTTTTATTATTAATTGTCCTTTAATGAATGATTGAGATAATATTTCTTAAACGAGCGAAATTTTTGACAATTTTGAAAATTCTGAAAGATCTATGTATCCTTATTCCGCAAAAGAATTGATAGAAACCCGGTAAATATATTTATGATTTGTCCCTATTGTTTTATCGAACAATAGCTAAATCACTATTATGAAAAAATATTCGTGACGGCAAATGTGAAGTGTTATCACGACTGCATGCAGGGTTACAGGAAAGGCCTTGTGATATACCATACTACCGCCTGTATTTGATGATCTATGTTTTGATCTCGATGACTATTGCGAATGTTCACGCAAAATTGTACGAGATACGAGTGTAAGAGCACCTCCTCTTATTGTATTCGTGCCCTTGAAAAGACGAAGTCTAATTTCAAGGTTTAATCGATGCAGATTTTTAAAACTTTCACTTGAAATTCATTAAATAAATAAATTATTATTTGATCCAATTTTCTTATGATCGAACAAAATATCAATATTTCTAGATAAACGCGTAGAAGAGCTATAAATAATTAATGTAGGTTCTCACTTGAGATGACCGGAGCCAAGATTGCTCCAGATTTGTGAAAATTTATTCGTTTGTATGACTAATTCAGATTTATATTCCATGTAGCATTTAACTAGAAAGTGAAACCTTATGTTACACAGAACATTGAATTTACTAGAAATGTTAATTTTCTGTTTTTTTTTTATGTTGGCTTGACCGAGGGAAATATTTGAAATTTACGTAATTGCTAGGTGCAAACAAAAAAAGTATAGGTAGTTCGAAGTTTATGAAACAAAATATCAATATTCAGCGATCAATAATTCCGTACTGTAGTTATTAGAGTAGTCAAGTTAGCACACCCGTATCACAAAATTGCCATTATCTACAAAGAAAATTATCATTAAAGTCACTGTAATTTTTATTCCGTTCCTGTACCAAAAAATACCGAACCGGAAGAAGAATGCCCCGACGTTCTAATACCTCCTCAGTAAAGAACTACGAAATTATATGAATTATGACA